TCGACCAGAACTCGTGCGTTGGGCCTATGTGCAAACGACAATAATGGTCATTTTGTGACAGGGCCTTGTCCCGTTCACATCTGGCTCTCGCTCTTGAGTATGTTAGTTTATTTGCCTGCAAATTAGCCAAGATATGTCTTATTTTATTTTATAACACTATAATTCTGTTAGATTCTGATCCATATTTGATCTACTTTTGCCCCTGAACTCACAATTTTACTCAGTGTTACCATCACTCATGTCTACAAGAAAACATAACAAGCTGATAATAAATAATACATATCTTGTTTCTTGTTTCACAAGTATTTTTTATATATAAATATTAGGGGGCTTATAATTATTTACTCAGACTTATGACTCCCCTACACTTACAACTTTGCCTACCTTTTTCCAAGGGACCATTCATTATCCCAATGCACCTTCAGATTTTCATTTTTTAAACCAGTATCACCCCAAACAAAACATATAATGCCACTAAACACAAGGGGTACAAGGTGTGGAAGAATTAGGAACAGAAACAATAATGATGAGCAAAAAGGAAGAGAGTAATCAGGAAGACAGTAGATAGCAATTGATATTGTATTTAAATTTTTGCAGATTAAAATTGGTTGGAAAGCATGGAGCCAGAAGGGAGTTCTGCATACAAGAAAAGGAACTGTTAGCAAAGAATTTATGGCAACATCTAGCCAGCTCAACTGCATTCCGTGTAGTGCTGTGCTTAAATTCAAAAAGGCTAGGTGCAATAGTAAAGAGCTGATCTAAACAATTAACATGAAAGTATTTATAGAAAAGACAAAGAGAGGCAACCTTACAGTGGTGGGAAAATGACTGAAGCTGCCAATAATACTGCTGATTCTTCTTTGGATCTTATCAAGGAGATCCAGTTAAATAGCAGGAACAGTGGACCATATGTGGCAGCAATATTCTAAGTATGGGTGAATAGTAGACTTATAGATATATAAGATAGATTATGGAGAGAAAAATTGTCTCACCAACATTGTGAATGGACTTTTTTAGCAGCTGACCTAACAATGGATTCAACATGTCAGCTGAGAATGTTAGCCTAAGAAGGTGCAATGAATCACTTTCTTGGAGGTTAGCACTAGCCATGCTGACAGAAAGCATCAAGGGGTCTCTCAGATGATTAATGGAGAGAAGTTTAGTTTTGGAGGTGTTAAAATTAACAAGCCATCTCTTGCCCCAGTTAACAATGGATCTGGGGTTGTTTTTGACCTCAGCTGTCATTATAACCTTGTCAGACTGACAAGCTTTACTATTGAGACAGGAGTAAATTGTTGTATCATAAGTGTAAATACCAAATTTAAGAGTTGATGTCATCAGAGAGGTCATTAATGAAAATTAAAAACAGAGTAGGGCCAAGGATAGAGCCTTGGGGGACATCTGCAGTAGTATGAAAGGATTTAGACCAGTGACCATTGAGGATACCTCTCATTTCATTATTTGATAGGAAAAACTGGAAACAATATAACTTTTCAGCTTATGGAGAAATCCTGAATGCTAGATCCTGTCAAAGGCTTTTGAGATGTCCAATTCTATAGCCTGGGCTTCACCATTTTTATGTAGAGCATGACTCTTTCCACAATTATCATAGACTCTTTCTGCAATTATCATCAGTACATCAGTAGCTGACCTGGAGAAATGAATGCCATGGTGCTTGTCTGAGAAAAAGCTGAGAGTTGATGAATAAATTTAGCATTGACTAGCAGCATGGCCAGACTTGATTCAAAAAATCGTACGACTCATACAGCAATTGCTATCACTTGACTTAAAATATTTTTGCCCTTCCTTGCCTTTAAAGGAGTGCCCTTTGCCATGCTGATGTTGCTACATGCCTTACTTCTTGCCTATCTCACACTGCAATTTTTTCTAAGCTCTATACTAAACATTAAATCTGTTACAAAAAAAGAACTAAACAAAATGAACACAAAACGATCAGCTTTAAAAAAGGACTCGTAACTGGAAAAACCAAATGAAAAAAGAATGTTAACAACAAATACTTTTCACACCCAACCCAGTTCTGTGGAATCAGAATCAACATTGAGTTTAAGCAAGCGAATGAGCCAATTGGAGTAATGTGCCATGCAGATTTAAATTTTTCCCACTTGTGACGAATGCAGCTATCGATTTTTTTGCCTGCTAGCATGCTAGTTAACATTCATGTCAGTCAGCTGTTGGCTTTCACACTGGCCAATAGAATCTTCCTGCCTATTCGTGGCAGCCAGCTATTGGCTCTCACTCTGGCCAGTACAAAATGGCTGCAAACTACATGAAAACTGCCGTAGAAGATGAAAAAATCTGTTATTTCCACTATCGAGTTGGGAAATGCAAAGTCAGTCTTGGCCTTCCTACTAACTTGGAACATGTGCATGTAAATTTTGGTGCAAATCCGTCGAAAATTGCGGCCGTTTCATTCGTTACACACACACACATCCTGCCTTTTATAGATAGAGATTAGGGCCTCTAGAAGGCTGATAGTTGGAAGGGTCGGACAGTTCACCGGAGTTCTTAAAAACTGGAAGAACAGATGAGAACTTCCAGCAGGTAGGAAGGCAGGAGGTAGCAAGGTATTTATTATATTTAGAGGGGACAGGAACCAGTTCAGGAGCACACTTCTTAATGACTATGACAGAGATATCATCAGGTCCACATGCTTTGTGGGGATCTAGGTTAGAGATGATAACAGAGAGCATGGAAGGGATTATATGCATATCACTCAACAGAGAATCAGTACTAGGAGGGAAGTTAATCAGGGATATTCCAGATGAGTCAAGAGTAGAATTTGAGGAGAATTTACAGGTAAAGCATTCAGTTTTATAAGCAGAGGATGATAGCACCACATGTTGATTGAATAGGGGAGGAATAGACAGCTTATACTCATTTAATGCCCTCTTACAGAACTGACATTAATCCTGGTAGCCAAAGTTGTTAGTGGCTATGGGCTTCCTCATTATCTTGGCAAACAGGGACTTTGCTCTTTTGAGGACTGGCTTACAATTATTGTGAGCAGCAACAAATGGGTGCCTGTTGTGATGATAGCCATCATGCTGCTATAGTCAAAAATAGTGTCTCCTGTGTGCTATAGTGGTCAAACATGCCAGTGTGGACCATGGAGAGAGTTGAGGTTTCACCTGGTATTTCCAAGAAGAGATGAAAGCATCCATACCAGCTTTGACTCAAGAAGAAACATCAGTGGCACAATTTTCAATTGGGAGTTTAAAGGTATCAGTCCAAGGGGTGTCACAAAGAAAATCACAGAATGTGTCCCAATCAACATGGATGTCACTTAGGGGTTTGCTCTACATTTTCCAGGAGTTGGCCTGGTATTTAAAACTATAGGGTATGTGCGAGAAAACGGGGAAAAAAAACAACATCCTGCGAACCTGAAACGAACGCCTTCTTGCAAACCTGAAATGAACGTCTTCTTGCGAACCTGAAATGAACGCATTCTTGTGAACCTGAAATGAACGCCTCCTTGCGAACCTCAAATGAACATCTTCCAGCGAACCTGAAACGAATGCCTCCTTGTGAACCTGAAACGAACGTCTTCTAGCGAACCTGAAACGAATGCCTTGTTGCAACACAAAAACGAATGCCTACTTGCGAACCTGAAACGAACACCTTCTTGCGAACCTGAAAAAAAACGACTTCTCTTCCAACCGACCGCAATGGCTTTTGTTGCCCAAGAAAAGACAACGACTCGTGCGTCTTCTTCTTGTAGTCCTCGGTTGAGTCCATTATGGTACTCCAAGGTGTGCCAGGCAACAACACACACACGCAGTTCGAGGACGCTTCCACGCATGCTTGTTACAGGGTACAATAACTAAAACATGATATTAATATATCCAAGGTGAGCTTAAACATAGGTTATCATGAGTTGCATAGAGTAATGGTCATGGTAAGTGCTACTTGATTTACACTTTTCTTCACTCTCTGGTCACCAAATTGGAATCAAAGTGTAGTATCTGTTCTCCTAATCTCATCTCATCATGGTAATATTAGCCGTTTTCTTATAAGGAAACATTCAGCGTTCACACTGAAAAGCACATGCTACTTGATATGTGTTTATTCTTCATTGCCTGGCAGTCATGTTGGGATCAAAATGTAGTATCTGTTCTCATCTTATGGGCAATATTAGCAGTTTCCTTATAAGGTAACATTTGGCATTCATTGACTGAGTATTTAGACTTGTTGTCAGCTGAAATTTAGAAAATCTTTTCAAGAAAAACTTTTTCAAAAAAACAGGTTTCTCAGGTCCAGTTGCTCTTTCCAGGATTGATGGGGTTTCCTTCCTTTTCTTTTGTTTGGGAGTTTGTGGAATGTCAGCATTTTGATTATGTCATATATTCTTTCTTTGAGTGACATGAGCTATCCTTTTTAGTTATTGCTCATGTTGAAACTCCTCAGGTGATGTTGTTTCTGTTATCTGGCATAGTTCATTGTTTGTGACTGTGTAACTCCAATCCACAAAGTTCGATGAAATATGGTCTTCACTGAGGCCTACACGCTTCATGCTCTTAAAACCCTTTTTTGACCATTGATCTGAGTAAATGGTCATATAGAGCTGAAAGTTTTGATATTAATAAAACAAGTTTGATGTCATGCAAGGCATCAATATAAAAGTATCAATCTGACTTGAATTTCAAAACTTATTTTCAAATTCTGCTAACTAGATATAGCGCAATACATTTTAATCTATCATACATTTCTGTTTGATTAGTTGTTTTTTAGCAGCATATCAACACCTCTATGGGTTATTTAATGCCAAGATCTACATACTTTGTATGCAATATTTTTTGGGGAGGAAATAATATTTTTAGTGATACTAATTAACTCATAGCTGGGGGAGAAGAGGCGGATCCCTACCTTTCCCAAGGGTATTTGCATGTAAGTGAATATAACAAACACAATTGGAATTGGAACTTGGCTCTTTGATTTCCAATTTCGAGCCATTATTCATTACACCATTTGCACAAACAACCTTACAGCACCTGATATTCCCAAGTGGTCACCCATTTAAGTACTGACCAAGCTCAACATTGCTCAACTTCAGTGATCATACAGGAACCAGTGTTTAAACATGATGTGGCCATAAGCCTATTTCTGTTCGATGTGATTCTATTATTTTTCTATATATTAATAAATTCTGAAGGTAAAAAATATTGTATCATTAAAAATATACAAATATTGCCACCATTAAGAATAAAATGAAAAACAAATATTGCTGACATATCAAATATCTTTTGTAAAGAATTGTTATCAACACCTGCCTACTTTGTGTTTTATTATCTACTAGCCAAATTACCCATGCTTCGCTGCATGTCACACATTTTTTTTGTAAGAAAATGATGATTGATTTTAAATCATTGTTAAAATATCTGGAGAAAAATGATGCATTTCAATATTACTCAATATTCTTGCTGTTGTGACCTCCATCTTCTGGCTTTCTCAGTCTATATTTTGAATAGGAGTCATTACCTTGTTCAAATTTATATTTAATTTAAATCAAAGGGAAAAAATATTCAAGGGGGGTGCAAAAACAACTTGATCTGACCCCTTTGATATATATTTGATGCAATACTTGATTGAATGAATTGATGAACAGATTTCAACATTGATATGACAGTTGAAATATGTACCGTAAGGCACTACCAACTGATTGATGATTTCTTGCTCAACTTGGTGTCCATATTGTCTCATTTTGAACTTGCTGATGAGGCCTCCATATTCTGGCTTTCTCCTTCTAGATTTTGGATAGGAGTCATTCTCTTGTTCAAATTTAAATTTAATTTAAATCAAAGGGAAAAAAAAACTTTCTGTGGTGGAGTGGGGGGTCATTGTGCCCTCTGGGGACCCCTTTGATCAAAATGAAATATACTTATCCAAGTACTCTGGGTAATGTAGTTTCAGAATATATATGGTTATGGTGTTCTATCTCCAAAATCGTTGGAGGAGTTTGATAACAAACAGACAGACAGACAGACAGAGGCTATAACTTTAAAGTAAACATTGAAGTCAACACTTAGAGGCTGTTTCATGCTAGATGCAATCATCAAGCCTAACACCTCTAAATGCTGACTTCAATATTCACTTTTATATTTACACACGCTCTATCTCTGATATTGAGCACTTTATCCCATAAATATAGTGCACCTTAAGATTATATTTCTTCATATATATATATATATATATATATATATATATAGAGAGAGAGAGAGAGAGAGAGATTGGGCTAAGTGAGTGTATTTGCAATGTTGCTGTTACAAATAAGAGTTGTTTTAAACCAAGTAAAAATTTCTGAAAATGTATAATACAACAACCCAGCGCTTTTTTGCCTTTAATTTTCATTCAAAATTTTCTTGTACTATGTACAAGAAAATATGGTATACTCAAAACCAGAAGACAACTGAAATTTCTAGGATGTATTATGAGGAAAGAGTGCTTGGAAATTTTAACACTCACAGGACACATTGTGAGAAGGAGGGAAGTAACAGCGGGGAAACAGCAAGTGACATACATTGAGTTTGTGCAAATGGATGGTAGAGTGGATGCAAAGAGGGATAGTAAGGAGACAATTGTTACTTAGAGACAGGAAGCTGTAGAGGACCATAATCATCTATTCTCTGATGGGTCACAGCAGAGAATATTTTGGTTGGTGTAGGATGAAAAATTTGGAAAGTTTGAATTTTAGCCAAATCTGTTTATGCTCACTTTTTATTAATTTCATTAGGAAAAGGCATAAACCCACTTCTCCCTATATTCAATCACATTGCTATATAAATCAACATATTAGAATTGGCTAATTAATTTGATTTTTATAGCAACAGAAATGTGGTCCTACAAAAAGCTTCTGAGAATATGATAGATTGAACATGTGAACAATGACAAAATTTAAAGAAAATGGAAACAAAAAGGATACTCGTAATTAATATCAGAAAGACAGTGAAATTACTCGAACCCATAATGAGGAAAGAAAGCGTGGAAAATTTAACACTCATAGGACACATTGTGAGATGGAGAAAAGTAACAAAGAGAAAACTTTATAAAAATCAGGAAAATAAAAATGTACACAAGCTTTATCTTGTAAGCAAAGCTGAGACAATTGCTGTTCAATTATGCTGATTCCTAAAGAATAAATTTTTTCTGACATATTAAATACCATTTGAGAATTGTTATTAACACCTGCTTACTTTGCAATTTAATATCTATTGTGGTAAATGAGTGTATTTTCAAATAAAAGGATGTTTTAAGTTGTGTAATTATTTCTGAAAACATGTATATGTTTAATACAACCTCATCCGTTTTCTTTTTTACTTTTGTTCAAAATTTTGCACAAAAAAATACCATATATATCATTAGTCTATTTACTCAAGCTCATGGCTCTCTACGATTTCCTGTCCTTTGTAGTATTTTGTCTTTTTATTATCTCTCCTAAAGCCTGTTCAGCCATCCATTTACACAAGCACACTAGGTTGGTTATGCACTGCTTTCCTCTATCCATCTTACTCTTAATATGACCTGTGTTCAGTATCAACATTTTGTTGCTTTTTAACCTTTTTCATCTTTTCACTGCTCATTATGTGAAATTTCAACTCTTTCATTTTGGGAGAAATTTCAACCAATCTTTTAGTCAATGAACACTGAATGTTTCCTGTATAGAAACAACTATTCTTACCATTATTCTTGCCATGTGCAATATTTCTTTGTTAGTTTTGAGCTTTTACTGTGATATTTGGTATGCATATTAAGTCTACACTATCAGATGCTCTTAGATACAGAAGTGTATTAATTTCATGACCACCTCTGTAACAATATATCAGAATAAGTAAAAGAAAAGGTTTGGACAAAGGTAATATAAAACTTTATAATGAGATCAAATCGAAGGCAAATTCATTCAAATGCATCATAGCAGGAATCATTGAATTTTTTCCAAGAAAAACTTAACTCTTATAAAGATTAACTCATCCAAGTCAGATATTAAAAACTTGAATTATAGTGCAGATGATTTTGAGAGTGCTATCCGGGATATCAGACTCATCCTTGAGGATATTAAAATAACACCTAAGGAGGAATTACATATTCTTGGTTCTCCAGTCTTTCCAATGGCCATTCGAGAGTGTTTAGATAATAAGCATGTCATTCTAACAAGAATGACTGAGAAATTGCAACTAATTGATGCACACCCAGCCCTCTTCCTCTTGAAGAACAGTTTTTCGCTACCAAGTTTCCTCTACACTCTCCGAAGTGCCCCTTGCTACCTCAAACAGGATTTCTTAAATGAGATAGATATCACAGTTAAGAGATGTGTAGAACTAATTTGCAACATCAATTTCAACAACACAGGCTGGAGGCAGGCAAAGCTCCCTTGGGATAAAATAAAATGCGAGGCCAATTTTACTAATTTGAGGCTCTCTCTGGATTAGCATCGCCTCACCTGTCTACTGTCTGCTTCACAGTGGCGCCTGGCTCAACACAGTGCCCTCTTCAGCTACCGGTACCCTTCTAGATGATGAGTGCACTCAAGTCGGAGTTGGGATCCGTCTTGGACTCAAATTATGTGAGCCTCACAGATGCAGATGTGGAGCCTCCATCGATGAGTTTGGTTTGCATCCTCTCTCCTTTCGTCGTAGTGCCGGCCGCTTTCCACGGCATGCAGCCATTAATGACATCATCAAAAGAGGTTTGGATGCAGCTGGGTTCCCTTCCAAAATTGAACCCATAGGCCTCGACCGCGGTGATAGAAAAATGGGAAGGCATTGATTTGGGATGCGACCTGTGCGGATACATTTTCGGCTGGTAATTTGATCAGTTCTGCAGTTAAGCCGGGATCCATCGCCTGGGATGCAGAGATGAAAAAAATTGTAAAATATTCTTCTCTTGCTGATAGATTTTTTTTTTACTCCTGTGCCAGTGGAGACATCAGGGGTTATTGACCCTCATTCGATGGCGTTCCTTCGGAGGATTGGCACGATTGCATCTCATTAAGGGACAAGCCTTGCGAAACGGAGTGGCTCTTGCAGCATTTTTCACTGGCAATGGTAATGCTTTCTCCATCATTGAGGCTGGCAGAGGATAGAAAAAAAATTGTTTATAGTTATGTTGTTCTGGAATTGTCATCAGTGGTCGACTGAACTTGTTTTGTTTCAATAAATTTATTCTCCTGTTTTTAGAATAATGTAAATATAAAATTATTCTTGTAAATAAATAATCAAATAAATAAATTTAAAAAATCCAAGAAATTATTCTCTTAAGTTGAAAAGCTTGGGAAATTTGCAAACGAACATTTAAATTCTAAGCAGATTTTTCCTTTTCTGATGGCTCATGAAATTCTTCACAAAGAATGAAGTTTTAATAATTTTAAATGAAGTGAACTAGAATGGCACTTGTATATTCTTAAGTATAATACAACTTGAGTATAATACAACACAATGTTTCTGAATCTAAAAACGGAATAAATTACATTCTTGAGTATAATACGAGCACGTGTTTCTGAAGCTAAAAGCAGGGAATAAATTACATCCTTGAGTATAATATGAGCACGTGTTTCTGAAGCTAAAAGCAGGGAATAAATTACATCCTTGAGTATAAAACGAACCCATGTTTCTGAAGCTAAAAGCAGGGAATAAATTACATCCTTGAGTATAAAACGAACCCATGTTTCTGAAGCTAAAAGCAGGGAATAAATTACATCCTTGAGTATAATACGAACCCGTGTTTCTGAAGCTAAAAGCAGGGAATAAATTACATCCTTGAGTATAATACGAACCCATGTTTCTGAAGCTAAAAGCAGGGAATAAATTACATCCTTGAGTATAAAACGAACCCGTGTTTCTGAAGCTAAAAGCAGGGAATAAATTACATCCTTGAGTATAAAACGAACCCGTGTTTCTGAAGCTAAAAACAGGGAATAAATTACATCCTTGAATACAAACCAGTGTTTCTGAAGCTGAAAACATGGAATTGATTACATTCTTGAATATAATATGACCTTGTGTTCCTGAAGCTACAAGCAGGGAATAAATTATATCTTTGAGTATAATACAACTCTATAATATCGCCATCCCTATGTAATTTAAAAAAAAAAAAATTATACC